GAAACCCACATCATTTCTCCTTCAGCCAGCACCAACGGCAGGAAGGCCCAGAGTCTCTGCACGTGCCGGGTAGCCACAGCGCGCCTGGCCGGCCCCGCCCCGCGCTCAGCCCCAGCCCTCCTCCCACGACGCCACGAGAGAGGGCAGAGCAAGGAGGCGGTGGTGGCTCACACGCAGGACAGCCCACCTGGCCCACGGTGCAGGCTCTGCCTCCTCGGCCTCCCCTCCTGGAGAAGCCGGGGGTCCGGCTGGGCCCAGCCAGCTGGGAGCCTCGCCGCTCATCACGGGGGAGGGTGGCTGCTTCACGTCGGGAGACCAGAGTAGGGATGTCCTCGGGGCCCTGGAGACGCTCGGGTCCGGAGTCCGGGGCTCTGTGGGCAGAGACGTGGTCAGCCTTCCCAGCCTTTGGCCCTGCGGACGCCTCAGAAACCTTGCTGACATGCACTGTGCCAGCCCCACAGCCTGAGCCTACAGCAGACACGGAGCGGCTCCCAAGCAGGTGGCTTACGCGTGGCAGGGACTAGGTGGACGCCTGGAGGGCCCGACACTAGGAGACAGGGGAGCTTCCCGGAGCCCACTCAGCCTCAGCATGGGCGCAGGCCTGGGGAGCCTCCTGACCCTGCCACCAATGACCTTAGGTCCCCTGCTGACCCGCTCCCTACCAGGTGACCCTGGCATCCCCACGCCCCACTGTGGAGCCTGGAGCTCACTGGTGACCTCAGCTCTGCCCCTGCCTAGCGAGACCCCGCCCACCACAGGTGAGAGAAGGAGTGGGAGGTGTGGGCTCATGGCTGGGGGGAGGGGCAGCGCAGGAGGCGGGGCTGAAGGAGCACCCAGGACAGTGGACCCTGGTCAGAGACAGGGCAGCCCAGCATGCAGGCTGGAGGAAGCCACGTGCGGGTGTGGCTTATTCAATGCAATGGGGACCGGGGCCTGAGGATGAGCACACCACGGGGACACCAGCCGACTGGGCCCACCCATCCCTGGTACAAACCGGGTCCCGGGTTGGCCGCCAGAGGCCAAGCCGGACCTCCCTCTCCCCTGTGACTGTGCACTCTGGCTAGGGACACTTCTCACCTGAAGGCTAAGGGCGTCCCCGTAAGGCCGGCCCCCAAGGAGCAGGATTTTCATGGGGAGACTGAGGCTGAAACCTTGAGCCCCTCCAGACGCCCCCCCCCC